AGAAAATATTTATTACCCCAAAAAATTGCAATGGCAATGCACTAAGCAATTAGTTTAAGTTATATAATAATGAAATTGGGGCTTCTTTCATTTGCGTTAGTTTTCGAAGCGCCAGAAAAAAGCACTTAAATCGACTGTTACTGCCACATGGGGTCGCCATAAGCCTAGGGTTTTCACCTGCGTTACATTAGCGTTAGAGGTTTACTTTGAAGTATGATATGCGTGCGCACCCGTGGAGTAACGTATTTCAACTCAGCTGCACGTGATAAGCCGATTGAATAGGAAGAAGACAAGTTGGATTAGCTTAATGGTCCTTAGTTCATACTAGAATTTGTTTATACTTAGTTTGCACTAAAGTGGGTTTATTCTATTGTGACCATTAAATTCTAGACATCTGAAATTCTGTACTCGTAGATAAATCAATCTCGCTTTAAATTGGCAAATCCGCTGTTAATCTTCATTAGTGTAATGTCAATCCCAGGAATCTCTTTTTTTTTTTTTTTTTTTTTCGGGCGTTAGGTTGAGTGCAAGGAAACAAATATTTTGAACATCCATGGCTCGCAGCATGGTCCACCTTTCATGGGGGTTTTTCACGATAAATAACCGGCTTAGGAAAACAAAAGCCACAAGAGCAGGCCAGAAAACATTAAAGTATTAGTTACCAACACTAAATATTGTGAGAGAAAAAAATACTCTTCTTTCTGCCATTTTCTGTACGCACGGGCGTCGCCACAAAACGCCAACATAGGGACAGTTAACGTAGATTTCCTTTGGCTAGATGGCGCAGGCCACCGTCCTATTCAAGGGGCCGACGTACACGGCGCTGGGATACAGTTGCCCCTTAACGCCCGACTGTCGTATGAGGTGCCAACCGCCCTAGCTAGCTGACGAGCTAATCAGTGGAAAACGCTAGCAAACGGCTTACCGTAACCTTTTGTATCACTAGCTGAAACTCGTTAACGAGTCAGCGATTGAAGCAGCTTTTAGTCTACGCGTGCTTATAGAATATTCCTTCGAAGGCCCCTGGATGTTTAAAGAAACGCGCTTCCATCAAAGATGCAGCTCGTAGCGGAAGATCGGTTCGGAAGGATTTATGAAATCACGTAATTTGCGAGGGACGTAAGGCATTCAGCATTCCGGTTGGACAATGCTCGTGAGCAGGTCTGGGCAGCGGTTCATATTTCTAAGTCCTATGGAAGAATCATCTGCAGACGTGTTGCTCTCTCCCTCTTATACACAAATGTCTAATCGCTGAAAGTATAGATAAAGAAGACATTTTTCAAGCGGCGCGTCTATATTTAAAGACAAACTATGTATAATAAGTGACATTCCAATGTCCGTTACACGGGACACCTTGCAAGCTGCTTCTCACGGGCTGTCATTTTGGGATTGTAGTACTGGCGACCGTGGAGCGACAGGCGAAGGATCCCAGTGTTAAGCTCCTGTCAGACGGCGTTCTAAAGGTCCTTTTCGCTAAGCTCCTTTATAAAATCGGCCAATCTGCTCGCGATGTTGAGTGCGCACGTGCCCTACGGAGCGAGCCGCTTCGCCAATTTTATAAAGGAGCTTGTTCTAAGGGCCTTCAAAAATGCCCGTCTGACAGGGACGTTACAGAAGTGACGCTCAAAATTACAGTGGCTGGCGTGCGGGCTCAACGTCACGGACGTCTATTTGCAGTTTGTTACAGGCACCAAAGAAAACCCTTTAACCTTTGAAGGTAAAATCCTGTGAAGTGTGCCTATTTTTATTGATCCAGGAATCGATGCCTCGTTTTAGTAGCCATCAAGATGTTTCTTGCTCGTTACCCCCTTTCTACAAAAATTGTGGTCATAACATAATACGGCTGACATATTTTAGTTATATTACAGGGTGAAGGAATTCAATTTGTACTTTTATTTTGTTACGATCTGAAGTCTCTGCGAAAACTGACTGCTTATTTGTCTCGTATTGCGCAGCACAGCGGTTTATATAGGAAACTTTATCGCCATTGAAAGCATAGTGTACTCGTGGCAATTGCATTCGGTGCAGTATAGGGTAAAGGAAGGTGACTAAAATATAGAGTATTACTTTTTGATTTTTTTTTTTTTCAACTCTCTCTTGTATCATTATGTTTTCACAGGTTAAATACTCTGCCTCGACTCACTGTGGACAGGTACGACGAGTGCAGTCGCGAGCTTACAGCTGCAGAATGTGTGTTACCCTTTCCACCGCTCGTACAGCTGGGACCAGGGCCGTACCCAGAAAAAAATTTCGGGGGGGGGGGGGGGGGGGGGGGGGGGGGGGTTTCGGGGACAACGGCGGCCATTTTAAAAGTGTCTATTGTCTTATTTTCGCCTATGAATCATGTGCATCGGTGGTATATAATGGAGAGTTACAGCAAACCGGAGAACCGGTCCCGGTTTGGTACCCGGTAGCCGACCGGCGCCACTGCGCGTGCGCAGAGGTGGAGATTAAAATCGGCTGGCTGCAAGTGCACCGACCAGGGCCGTACCCAGAAAAAAATTTCGGGGGGGGGGGGGGGGGGGGGGGGTCAGAACCCCCTAACCCCCCCCCCCCCCCCTGGTTACGGCCCTGGCTGGGACACTTACTAAAGCTATTATGACCCATTACAGTAATCGCCTGCATTCTGTCATCTTTTTCTATTCGACTGTGTATACTCGTTCCGAGCATGCACGGCAGCTCTCTTCTGCGGAATCTACTGCCCCACAGCCCAACGACTCGTCATTTTTTTTTCCCCTTAGATGATGAATGCTAAAAGAATTGTATTGCTCCATTTCACTCGATGAGGCCAATCAAACGCCGCCAAAAGTGCATCGTAATGACGCTCATCGTCTCTCTGCGTTTGCTATCCCCGACCAGGCCGATTACGTGCGTCCGTATGAGGAAGAAACACTCCTCGGACAGTGTCTGCAGACTAAATGGATGTTAATAGTTATACCCTTTGTAACGGGTGGCAGCTTGTGCCACCTAGCCTACGTCTAAAAAGAAAAACATATGATTTCTCCCGCCCTTCTATGCCAATTTTCTCCCCCCTAACTATCCTTTGTCCCGTCTTTTGTATGGTGTGTCACACCATAGCCTCCTATATACTGACAAATCCTGGCAGATCGCCACGACAAGCGGCCGCCGAAATGGAAAAGGTGGAGCGGCAGACAGCAGATGAGAGGAGAGCCACGTGAGTGGCGCCCCGCTGCGGCTAGCCGCCGAAACACACTTTTCCGGAGCGAACAAGTGTGTTTCGGGTCCTCGCCGGTGCAAAAGCTGTGCGCTGACGTCTAGGTCCCCCGAGAAATGTTCTGTGCTACCAGATCCTCGCGCTCCAAATCTGCGACCGGGCGTTGGGCACCTTATGGCTCGGTCGCCGAACTGCCAGGCTTTGTGAGTATAGGGGAGGCTATGGTTACACCTTCCCGTTCAGCTGTCGACACAATCCAATCTAATCAAGAGACACCTCGAGTAAATTTTTTTTTTTTTGGTTATCTCGCATGTTTGATAGTAATTTTTGGCGCTCATAATGTCGGAGCAGATGTGAGTACAATGTAGAGTGCTGGCACATGCCACTGCCTCGTGTTGTTAGCATTTCTGTCTGGTTCTTTGAATGAGGTGGGTTTCTTGATGAGCGATGTCTAACCCTGCCTCTCCGAGTGAGTCTGAGACTTAATTGGATGTCTGGATGGAACAGAACAAACGATTTGTATACCAGGAATAAATCTCTTTTTGCGTGTTGTTAAATCGGCAGAACCATTTGCGTATCTTGTATGGATGATTGCTTGTCAACCTAATCTTATTAACCCCGTGCGAGAACGAATCAATAGAGAAAAATAACATCGTAATTGATCCTCATGGAATCTTAACAGTGTGTCATCCGGATGCCTTTAGAGATTTCTTGGCAGTTCACGTGTAAATTATTAATCGTTCACGATCCAACACATACGAGAACAAAACAGCACACTGTACAATTGCTATGAATGCCAGGGCTAACGGGTTTGTATATACAGGTGAAACAGGAAAGAAGCAGGAACATTGTTGTATTTACAGTCTCCGTCATCATCATCATCGTCTTAGAACATTTGACACAAATGACCTTACCACTGGTTACTCGGAACTGACACCACATATTTCACACTCATCGTCGTGATGCAAATACAGTTATTACAAAAAACAAAAACAGCGGTTATGCTTATAGTTAACTGTGTGGCTGAATAGTACCTCTGAGCCGTGACCACCAGCCAGCGAGAAGACCGGGTCGGCTTACCTCATTACTTCGGCTAACGTATGGTGCCAACAGCGACTGGAGACTCACTTCAGCACCTGGTTCGCGCCGAATCCTGTTTCGCCTTTAAACGTCTCAGTCGTCTGGTATCCCGCGTGGGGCTCTGGTGTTGTTGCCGTCGGGGACCTTGCCTTCGTGTTGAGAGCACTGGGACGTGAGTGCACAGCAGCTGAAACCGTTGCGACCGATGTCCACAAGGCTTCGGTCACCAGACAATCGCGATTTCACTTTCTCTCACATGCGACGTGACATTACCAGAAAAAGATGTCTGCACCAAGATTCTATCACGTGGCTTTGTTTCGTTTAAGTCTGGAAGTTTTTTTGTTTTGTTTTTTTTGGGGAGGGGGGGTGCTGCCCATATTCAACATGCGACTGGCTTGGCATGTATTGGATCTTACAATGTTAGATTACCCTTTTTACCCGAATATTAGGTTCGATTATCGCTCGTCAGAAATGCCCACAAAGGCATCCGATAGAGAGGAGCGTACTCACACCGAAGAGTAGAACGTGTTCTGTCTTGCCTTCATCTACGTCCTTATTCGAAGGTTGGTGTTCGTTTACATGAGGCCATCCGTCTGCTTTGCAGAATATAGTGCCTTATTTAAAAGGCAGCCACCGGCGGTTTCATCGGGTCTCAACGCAGGCGCATCGTCCGGTTCACGTGACCATCACGTGATGCCGCAAGCTCGTGGGTCACCATCGAGAAGACCTCACACCGGAAGGCAGTTCAGAAGCGCCCTTGGTCTTCTCCTGGTATGAGAACTTGCGTCTCAGGAGCACCTCCGTTAAGACTAGTCGGTGTCGGACTGTTGTTGCTCGCTGTCTTGGCCTGCAACGCGTCCTGCGACGCATCCTGCAACGCGTCCTGCGTGGCGTCTTCGCCCGCAGCGTCTTGTTCCACGTCCTGCGGTCCTTCCTCGGGCAGCGTCGGCTGGTGCGTTTTGATGCCCACGGGCGCCACGCTGTACAGCGAGTCCCTGGAGCCGACCAGCCTCGCCCTCCGCACGATGGTGTGGGTGTTATCAGGCGTGATGAACACTTTGATGAAGTACAGCACTCCGCCGGTGGCGATGAAGATCAGCCCGACCGTCTGGGTGTAGCTGACGTTGGCACCGACGCCGATGAACAGTAGTACCAGGCCCGTGACGAGGAGCAGAGTGCCCAGGTACATGAGCAGGCGGGAGCGCTGTTCTTGCAGCGTGGTTCGTACCAGGCGGTGTCCAGGCAGCGAGCTGAGGGTGCTGAGGCTGGCTGGCCGCTGGGAGAGGGAGTTGACGCTGCCCTGCCTGGAGCCTGCGGACAGGGTGCGACCGGTCTTGCTGCGGCGCCGCTCCCGGCGCACCGCCACCGCGGGCATGGCCGAGATCATGGCTCACGCTGGGCCGCAGCAGCGCCCGCCGCACCGCTGCGAGCTGCGGAGAAACAAATTAAGATCGTGTCATCGGCGTTTCTAAATGGTGGAACGTGGCTAAAATCAGTCATTTCTATACACGGGCCGCATTAAGGTCACACCAGCTGCCATTGTGGTGGTGCGCACGCACCTTCCGCAGTGCGCATTTCGCATCACCGAAATTGTTTTTACTCGAAAGAACAATAAGATTGATCAATTGGCGTGGTGCGATGATCACGTGACACGTGCGAGACATGTACACTGTCTCGGCGATGACTGCGGGCTCTTCGCTCGATCACTAAAAAGGAGTCTGCAAGTTCACTTTCCTGCACAACGGGGAGACAGCCAATCCCGGTGAACAACATGATTTTAGCCAACGACGAAGCTCAGAATACGATTAGAACAAGTGAAATATCATGCGCATTGTCCCTGTGCACATAACTTTTTTTGTCTAATATTATTCTGAACGTTCTCATTGGTTGGGATCCTTCTGTTGTTCGCCGTGATTGGCTGTTTCCGTGTTCAGCAGAAAAGTAAACTCCCAGACTGTTTTTTTTTTAATTTTATTTTTAATTTAGAGTGATGTAGACGCGAAGCCATGTCACAAAAGTTCATGTGAGGTTTCGATGAAGTCAATGCTTGCTCAAATCTCCAGATTAATCATTGACAATATATATATATACACGGAAGTCCCAAAAATTAAGAACTCGCGGAAATAAAGGGTTTTATACAAACTTAAGCGAGGGTACATGCGAGCTACTTTAAGACTGACATGGTAACCCTGCAGCAAGAATGGGAGTTGTATTAAGGGTTTCATACACGGCGACAACTTTCTGTTGCATTTCGGAGGAAATAAAAAGGGTACACTCTAAAAAAAGCCTATGTGTCGGCTTTCCCGCACAACACTCGGAGAGCCAATCACCGCAATTTATGGAGGCAACTCAGCGAATGACGATGCCGAAACATATGTTTAGACCAGAAACGCAGTCTGAGTTGTGACTTTAAGCAACCCAAGCGTGACGTTTTGCATTGCTTAATGTCACAACTCAGACTGCGTTTTTTGGTCTAAACATATGTTTCGGCATCGCCGTTCGCTGGGCTGCCTTTGTAAGTTGCGGTGATTGGCTCTTCGAGTGTTGTGCGGGAAAGCAGACGCGCGGGCTTTTTTTAGAGTGTAAAGTTACAGGCACGAGGCGCCCTTGTAACTTTAACTTTATTGCCACAATACGTTTCCTTGCCTTTCTCTATATATGTCTAGCCGGTTCTATCCACAATAAGTTGTTCGCACGTGTACAGAAGCAGATCCGGGAAGTGACAAATACAACCACCGCACTGCGCTAAAACACCCAGAACTTACATCATCGGCGTGGTCTTTCTTTCGTATTACTTAAAATAAAGCTATTCAGATTTCTTTTTTTACATAATTTGTTACCTTTGCCAGGACATCACGACGCCTATAGAAATTTAACTTTATTTTACCGTATATAACTTCGCGGACCCGCACGGCCATGATCGTTTATATCAGTCAAGTGAGGATGCATTATTTAGAAGACCCAGGGCACGTACGGTTCGGGCGCCAGACGGTATTAATGCGAACGGTGGACGGAAAGTCGAGAGCGATCGAGGCAAAAATGGGGCGACAATGAGGAGGGGGGGGGGGGGGGGGGGGGGGGCTGGGCTGATCGAAGAAGGGAGACAGCGCTCGCATACCGAAGCTGCTGAAATGATTGTCTGGCGAGCGTTGAAAGATGGCCGGTTAAATATAGATGATCGGTATGCCGCACACCTATACGCCAACTCAACCCTCTGGCGTTCCACCAATGCGGTGACGCTGCAGGCGGCACTGCACGCGAGCGAAGACCCTTCAGTGTGGGCGAACGCGGAATTGTTTGCGAAGAGTGAGTTGGTTTATATAGGGCCGGTTTCACGTAATGTATACAACGTGTTTCTCAGGAGAAGAGAAAAACTTCGAGGGCACTTAAGCTTCGCCTTTAAGAGCGGAACGCGATAGCCCAGTTCGCATCTCCTTCTCATTCGCTTCTCAAGCCCTTCCTGCCAGTGAGCAGGAAGTGCCGTGGACACCGTGGCTTAGTAGCGTGTCTGGATTCGAACCCACAGCCAAGGGTCGTAGGTTCGAACCCCGCCAAAAATTCTTCAAATTTTTCTTGCAGGCAAATGCATTACCAGATAAAGTGAAATCGCTTGAGACGTGGGGCGACCTTTCATTCATGTCGTTTTTTTAAATCACTTTCATTCCACGCACGAACGTCACGTTTCACGTCAGCGTTGTGGGTTTGAAACTTCCGCGCGAGGTCTTATGTGGTTGTGACATGATGACCCATCGAGCAATCAGGATTATCTCGTCACGCCGCCGACGCCGGCTTTTCTGTTTCACGAGATCCTTAACGCTTTCGCCTTAAAAGTTGCAGTATTTTATTTATAATGAATGTAAACTAAGCTTTGCCGAGCGCCCAGTTTCACGGAACGTAGAGTTGGAGAACTAATCGTTTTCTTATTCGTAAGTGAAAACTCGTAGAGCAATATACGGGCAGGACATGCAACAAAATAGTACTGCCCAGATTACTAAATAGTATATTAAATACCGAGAACGTCGAACTGCGACATATGACATTCATTGCACTAAGGAGCTATTTCAGAACCCAAACAATCCTTGTATTTCAGAACCCAAACAATCCTTGGAGATTAGTAACCAGTGGGCGTCGCTATGTTCATCTCTAATCTATTACAAGCGTCCTTATATCTCTGATTTCCGATTCGCCCAGTTATGATGCTAATCTGTCTGTGTCAGTATTTTCCTTGTCATGCTGCACAAAAATTAAAACACATATGCCGTTTTTTTTTTCTTTCTGTTTTCTTGTTAATGTCATTTCCAAGTTTTGTCTTTCACGCTTGGAATCGAAACTGCGTGAAGATTCGGTAGTTTTGCTTATGCTGCACAAATGTCAATACGGGGGTCCGCTGCTTCGTCAAACCGTCCTTGCGACATCTTTTGTCCACGCGCCTCCAGTAATCATGTACTTATAGTTCCCGATGAAAATAAAACAAATCGAATCAAATCAGGTTATAAGCAGCTTTCGGAACTTTTCAGTGGAAAAATGGTGGCCGACGGAGGCCTCGAATACATGAAAGTGAATGGAGTCAGCTATCGGGAACGGGTTATTCCAATTATTCGAATTGGAACTCTAGAACAAATGTATTTTAATTTTTGAAGAAGGTAACGGCAAGCTTGGGAACTTTAGCATGCGCTAGCGCTATATCTAAGCGAAGATTAAACTTCCGGAAAAGCGTAATATAAATTTGCTGTAAAAGAAAATAAAAAAAATTTTTTTTTTGTTGTTGTTTGGGGGAAGGGGAAAAAAAGGGGGGGGGGGGGCAGGAAGTACTTTTATCTCAGAATGTCGGCGGACACCATGTTGATGAACTTTCTCCTTATGGCTTTGCTTTGAGGCAGTGTTTTTCGGGTAGCTCGAGCCCTTTCGTGTCGTGATTGCGACAGCCAGAGTATAGTCAAGAACGCAAACGCGCATTAGACCGGTACTCCATTTTCAGGGATACCGGCCTGTAGTTGGACATGCGAAAAGCCAGTGACCGAGAAGTCGAAGCGTGGTGTAACATGGCCCCGGTTAATGCCGCCGAGACCACTTCGAAAAGAAAAAAAAAGTCAAAATAAGCGTGGGTTTATGACGCCCGAATACGCCCCCCGGTACTATATGCTTACCGAGTTCCGTCGTCCACATGTTTGCGCGGTTGACCAACGCCAAAAACGACGTAACTAACCGAGCGTTTCCATGCCAAACTAACGGACAAAGTGGCAAACGCTGTTCGTCAACATGGCGGGAAAGCGGCTTAGTGGCAGGGAAAAGGCGTTTCCTGAAACCGATCTATCTGTCCGTTGAGCCCCTAAGCTGGCAGTGCGGTGGAGCCACGCGCTTGCCGAGACCAAGCATCCACCTCCCTTTTATTCACTGACGCCGCTCTCTTCTGGTAGACGTAGGTGGAAGCGTGATCACGTGGCCAAAGGTAGCCGTATGATTGGTCCAACGAGCACGTAGCTTCCACTGCACTATCAGCTTAGGGGCTAACACAGTATAAACGCATTCGCGAGCTTGCATCTCTGTCCGTGTGGGCACAAGTGTCGTTCTGGAAAGGATTAAGGATGTGGCCATTTAGAGTCTTTCAAGTTAGTTGTATGGGAAAACGGGACCATTGATGTTTTTCTTGGGGAAATTTCCGCGTCTTGCGTTCGCAGCTCCAGACGAGGCAACGCCATTTAGCGGAAAAGACGCGAAGGAGAGAAGGGAGAAAAGCTATGCTTAAGGTAGCCTAAGCAAGTGCGCCGCAAACATTGGCGCGTCCTGGCGACCGAAACGTGAGACAGGGGAATGGGGATGAAACGCAAATTGACAGAGTGGCGAACAGCGATACAAACGGAGGGTACACCTGTATCCACCACCGCATTGAGAAGTTCCCGTTTCTCACACGCGGGAGATCAAGACAAGCAAAGGTCTCCATATTTGACAATCTGCGAAACTAGCTTCAGCAGTTGAAAACAACGCACCTAACCACGTAGAGGAAAAAAAAAATGGCTGCAGCTGGAAGCAATTACTCCGAAAACACACACACGCACGCACACACGCACGCACGCACACACGCACGCACGCACACACACACACAAACCCCGTATATATATATATATATATACGGGGTGATTCAAGGAGTGGCCAGGCTCTTTAAATCGACCGCAAAATTCGGTTTCTTAACCTATCGCGCTACGATTTTGTGCACCGTCGCCCACTGATGGTGCATTTTTTCTATAAAATTCGCAAAGAGCGAGCTTACCTGAGGAAAAAGTAAAAAAAGAAAAAGGCTTAGCTCCTATGAAAACGCAGCCATTGAAACCATAGAGCGTCTTATGGTTTGAAGACCGGTGGCTTCGCTGCGTTCCCACTGCGTTTCGC